TAACTGACAGTTAATCTCCATGGAAACAATTGTACTGACAATTATCTCCATGGAAGTTATACGTTAGTCAAATTTAACAGAGGTTGGCAAAAGTTTTTTTTTGTTAGTAGAGCAGCACTAAAGTAGCACTAACCGTGGAAGCCTACATTATTTCGATAAGGCAAAGTTGAGTGTGAAGTTGGCCCCACCCCGATTTTTTTTATTTTTTTCGTTTTGTATAGCAGCACTAACGTTACCCTTGCAGCACTAAACAGCACTAACGTAGCACTAACCGAGGATACCTACATTATTTCGATAAGGCGAAGTTGAGTGTGAAGTTGGCCCCACCCCGATTTTTTTTATTTTTTTCGTTTTGTATAGCAGCACTAACGTTACCCTTGCAGCACTAAACAGCACTAACGTAGCACTAACCGAGGATACCTACATTATTTCGATAAGGCGAAGTTGAGTGTGAAGTTGGCCCCACCCCGATTTTTTTTATTTTTTTCGTTTTGTATAGCAGCACTAACGTTACCCTTGCAGCACTAAACAGCACTAACGTAGCACTAACCGTACCTATAATTTTGTTCAAATATTTTCACTGGGCGGGGCCAACTTCACGTGGCACTCTTTTCCATCCCTACAGTGGTTTAACCTCTGACCAATCACAACACTCTTCGGGGGAATATGTTTATATTGACCGATTGACTCAAAATATTGAAAACGTTGATGTTCAGTTTGTACAGGGTGGCCAAATAAGAATGCGAGGTACTGTATCTGGGAACCTGTCCATCGTAGAGGCTTGCGCTAAATAAGTTATTACTAAAACGGCTACGAGAAAAACCTGGAAAATATTTTTAAGTTTCTGAAATGAGCGCTAGGGGGGCGTAACTGCAATCTGGAATCTAAAAAAGTGATTTTTCTGTGAATTCCGCTATATTAACCTAACAAAAAATGTCTGGTCTTTGAAGACGACGATAATCTGAACCTTTTTTGTTTGAAAATTTTTCCTGTATCTCTAAAAATGAAGTGGTGGGGGGTATTCAAAAGTTTCCGTAAAGAACACCCTGTATCTTCGAAACGACTGAGCCGATTTAAACAAACTCAGGTTAGTTCAAAAGAGCTATTCTTCGGCTACAAATATTGAAGTTTTGTTAGTTTCACTTATAATAATAATAATAATAATAATAATAATAATAACCAATAACCCATGCAACAACAGAAATACAACTTCAAGAACAAAGAAACACCATAAATACAAGTAACGCAACATGCACTACAAAGACAGGTCCATCCAATAAAGTTACACGCCCTAGCACATTTAAAAAACACAAAACTCCTTCTTCACAGAAACACACCACATTTTCACAACCCACTCGTATTCAATCGCAACGCAAAAACCTTAACAGAACTACAGGCTCACAACATACTAAAATATCTCCAGCAAAAACCCAAGCAACCTCTCAAATACAACCTCAAGAACAAAGAAACACCATAAATACAACTAACGCAACATGCACTACAAAGACAGTTCCACCCAATAAAATTACACGCCCTAGCACAGTTAAAAAACACATAACTCCTTCTTCACAGAAACACACCACATTTTCACAACCCACTCGTATTCAACCGCAACGCAAAAACCTTAACAGAAATACAGGCTCACAACATACTAAAATATCTCCACCAAAAACCCAAGCAACTTCACAAATACAACCTCAAGAACAAAGAAACATCATAAATACAAGTAACGCAACATGCACTACAAAGACAGTTCCACCCAATAAAGTTACACGCCCTAGCACAATTAAAAAACACATAACTCCTTCTTCACCGAAGCACACCACGTTATCACAACCCACTCGTATTCAACCCAAACGCAGAAACCTATACAGCACTACTAGCTCACAAAATACTGTAATATCTCCAATAACCCAAGCAACCTCACAAATACAACCTCAAGAACAAAGAAACACCATAAACACAAGTAACGCAACATGTACTACAAAGACAGGTCCATCCGATAAAGTTACACGCCCTAGCACAGTTAAAAAACACAATACTCCTTCTTCTCAGAAACAACCCACTCGTATACAACCGAAGCGCAAAAACCTTAACAGCACCACAGGCTTACAAAATACTGCAATATCTCCACCAAAAACCCAAGCAACCTCACAAATACGACCTCAGGAACAAAGAAACACCATAAATACAATTAAAAAACACATAACTCCTTCTTCACCGAAGCACACCACGTTATCACAACCCACTCGTATTCAACCCAAACGCAAAGCCAAAGAAACACTTACACAATAAACTCCATTTAATAAAATTACAGGAATTATTATAGTGATTTTTTTTTGTTTGTTTTGTTTTCCTCTTTCCTGATAGCGTTGGCTATTGTGCCCATCAATAGGTATGTTGGTAAGTACGAATTACATTATCCCTAGATGTCCAATGTACGTGTGTGATTTTTTTATTTTATTTTTTATTTTTTTTTTTATTTTTTTTTTATTTTTTATTTTTTTTTTTAATGACCCTACATAACTTCACCAGACACAGACACTGATCGTTACTTGATTTTAATCCGTGCGATTAGTTAACCAGGCTAGACCTGAGTTCTCACAAGAAACACCGACCATAATAATAATAATATTTATTATCCAAACAAGTAAATAATATACTCAATAACAGGACAATATTCCAAAAAATTGCAAAATCAAAAGTACATGCGAGTTGTTTAGTAATTAATTTAAAAAAAAACACTTCAAGATATTAATAAAGAAAATAAATTATAACTCTAATGATTGCAACAACCGACCCAAACCTTCATGAAAAACGTCTACTGGCGTGGATAAGTCATTAAATAATGAGCAGATTAAATGCACTGGAGATCTCTGAAGCACATTGGTCTTACATCTTGGTAGGCAAAATGGTGCTGGGCATCTTGAGGACAAACGTGGGACGCAGAATCCAATTTTCCCGAGCACAGACGGGCAATCAATTTTATTATTTAAGATATTATAGAGAAATGATAGGCATAGACGTTTTCTTCTAGTTTTAAGGGGCAGCAGCTCAAACCGTTCACACATTATCTGCTGAGAAAACCCCCTGGGTGGATAGACTCCATCTTCTTCATTATCTCCGCTTGAGGGCGTTTTTCGACATTCCGACAGAAATGTTATTGTGATATTGTGTGTTATATATATTAATATATTAGTCTGTGATACTTGCTGAAAAAGATTATTTTAAATGTAATGTTATGCTTGTAGTGTTGTGAGCCTACTGTAACTGTATTTTACTTGACGTATCCCATGTTTTTTCTGTATAAAGCCGGTTGGACAAATAAATATTATTATTATTATTATTATTATTATTATAAATGGTTAATTTTCTCAAAAAAATTAAATGCATTGGTTCGATTTTTTTTCATGAAGTAGCTAAATGATGCCTAAACAAGTTCGCGAAAACCGCATCTCTATATCTTGTTCCTAACCTAAAATTTAGGTCAAAGAAAATTTTATACCCTCAAAATTTTATTTTTTTAAGCTAATTTTCCGGAATTATTTTTATTATATAATTTGTGGCCCTAAGGCGGATCGATTTAAAAAAGGAAGCTTTTAATGCCGCCGTAAATGCTCGAAATACTGGCCATCACGATGTAAATATATATATCAAGGTATCGAGATGCTGTTTTCGCAAGCTTGTTTAGGCATCATTTAGCTACTTTTTCATGAAAAAAAATCGAACCAATGCATACCATTTCTGTCGGAATGTCGAAAAAAATCCCTCAAGCGGTGATATGTGAAACTAACAAAACTTCAAATAGTATAATATTTGCGGAGCCGGACATTAGGGCGCGAGAGATAAGGGCCCATGGACATAAGGGCGTGAGGACAAAAGGGCGCGATACAAATAGGCGCGGGACATAAGGGCGCGGGGACATAAGGTGTTAAAGAACCAAGCCCAAAATAAAGCCTTTAGGCTGGCTTAAATGTAATTACAAATTAATCAAAACAGATAAGAGACACCTTACCTTATTATATGAAGTTTCGCCGGTGTAGGTATAGAGGCGATCGGGATGATAGCGATAGCGCCGCGGCGGTGGTGAAATTGGCGATGTTGCACTCAGGATGGACACTCAAAGACAACATTAAGAGCCCTTTCACACGGAGCCACTCAGCAGCGCCGCCGAGAAGTGCTGCCGATGACTATAGCTGTGGGTAAATTAAGAGCGTTCACACGTCGCCACCGCCACAGAATAGCAGCGCCACGAAAGCCGTCGGTGGTTCTTCGAGCCGCAGCTGTCCGCCACTAAAAGTGGCGCTGCTCTCGACTTTGGCTGTAATTTAATGGAGCTGTTCACACGTAGCCACAGCAGCGCTGAAAATTTCGCAGCGATTCTGCTGCGCCACGGAAGCGCTACTCGTAGTTTGCGTATACGTAGTTTCAGTATTGACATTGTAGTGATTCGGTATGGGTGTAGAGGAAGACTTAATTCTGGCAATGCTTCTTTTACAAAGGAGAAAAAGAAGGAATAGGCGTCGACGATTTTGGGTTCATCCACTATTGCTGGAAAGGAGGAATCGTTGTCTATTTCACACTCTATTTGATGACTTACAACAGGACGACGATAAGATTTTTTCGTACTTCCGCATGTCAAAGTTAACGTTCGATGAGCTACTTGCCGCTATTACGGAAGACATTTTGAAAAAGAATACAGTAATGAGAGTCAATACCTCCAGCAGAAAGACTTGCTTTGACTTTGAGGTAAGAAAATTAACCAAGTAAAGTATTTTAATGTATAGAGATAACTTTTAGATTCATAAGCTATGTAACAATTTATCACACAGTTTTGCTGAAATGTGCAAGCAGTAGAATAATAATAAATAATTTATTTTTGTTGTCTATGGACTAACAAGAAAATAAAACTTAAAAAATAACTGTTAAACAAAAACTTATGAAACTAGTTTTTTATAATTACGATGGGGTAACATGGTTCAGCAAATAAAACTGAAATTCATTATCATACAGTAGTATAATTCAATTTAACAAGTTTGACAAAATAGTTTACAAAACTTTATTCGAAAACATCTTCTGACAAAACCCTGCTGCTTGCTGAGTAACTTCCTGGACTTATTGCTGAATAAGTGGTGGCGTTCTGCTGAGTGTCAATCTGAGGCAGTTGCTGAGTGGATGAAGTATGTGGTGTAGGTGTATACTGGTAATGCTGAGCGTACTGTTGATTTTGTGGTTGCCAATTTGAAGTGCTTTGTGGATATTGTTGTGTTGGAATAAATGAATTTTGCTTAAAGGACGAGAGAACTCCCATGAGTTGCGATTTTGCATTAAGTTTTAAGTGTGCAGGGATACATTTTAGGTCACTGAGCAAGGAAAGAAGGAACAGTTTATCGTCGTCGACTTCAAATTCAGACGACTTTGAATTTTTCTCCACTACTTCTGAAATTTCTTCTTCATCATTTTCATGATTAGCTGCATCAATTGTATCTTCATGTGAAGATACTGCCGCATTGTTAAGGAACCGAAGTTGCTCGAAAAAGATGTATTTTTTTCTGGGTTTTGCTGCAGATCCAGATTTAAATTCTTTTTTCTGTTTTGCCAATTCCCTTGAGTATGAATCCCGCAGACTTTTCCATTTCCGCTTGTACGTGTTACCTGTAAAAACAGATTCGGATTAGCTTGTCATTATTCATGGAACACACATGTTAAGTAAAAAACCCGGTTGTGGCATTTTTCCATCGTTAGGAATACAAATTTTGACCTATTACAGCGTGCAATGTGGCTTTAGGGCAAATGCATACGTATCATAAAGGTTGTTTCATTGTCTTTTACAACATGTTTTTTATTTCAGGTATCTTGGCTCGGGGCATACTATGAAGGATCTTCATATTGATTATCGCATTGGTCTATCATCAATATCAAATATTATTAGAGAGGTATGTGCTTCACTTTGCTCAAGATTGAAATCTGCCTGTTTTCCACCGTTAACGAAAAAAATCTTAGCGAAAAGTGCAGAGGAATTTGAGGCAAGAGCAAACTTTCCGAATTGCGTTGCCGCAATCGACGGTAAACACATACGAATGATAAAACCTGCAAAAAGTGGATTTATGAATTTCAATTACAAACACTACTTCTCAGTTTTACTGTTAGCTGCATGCGATTCACAATACAAATTCCTGTACATCAACGTTGGAGCACCAGGTAAATCAAGTGATTCAACCATTTTCAAGAATTCAAAACTGTATTCCCAGTTGAAAAGTGGACAGATAAAGATGCCTCCACCTAGAACAATTTCAGAATCAAGGCCCACCACAGTCCCATACTTCCTAATCGGGGATGAAGGGTTTGGACTATGTGATTTTCTCATTAGGCCATTTGCAAGGAAGTATCTATCTATTGGAAAGAAAACATAAACCATAAGTTACTTATTATGTAAAACATAGTTATTTTGTGTTTTTTCCCTTAACCTTTTAAACGTGTTTTACTTCATTATGTTAAATTGACGAAATCAAAGAACAGAGGGAATTCATTTTAAATTAGGAATGATTTGTTTATTGTTGATTTGTCTTGTGTTGATTTGTAAAATAATACGTAACCAATATAGGGAAATCAATAACCTAACATTAATTAACTACTTTGGCAATTTACTACTTACCTATCACTTTCTTTTCCGGTTCTGTTAGGTTGCCAAACTTCAATATCACAGCTTCCCACGCATTTCTCTTTACAGTTTTATTACTATATTCTTCATTGCTTAGGTCCCAAATCGCAGGAAATTGTTCAATTGCACTGATAAAATCTTTCGTGTTCACTTTGTCACCCTCCATTTCATACATCATCAAGATCAACACTGATGACGACTTGACCCGAGTTGAAAGGTGCGCCATCGGTGGCGATGCTAATAAACCGCAGCGCTTCGAACTCGCGTTAGTGGCGCTACTTTTTTCTGCGTGCTGGAAGTAGGAAGCTAGGTCGAAGCGCCACCGAAATATTCAGAAGCGCTGCTAACCAACCACTGAGAAGCGCTGCTGAGTGGCTCCGTGTGAACTTGGCCTAAAAGCGAAGTAAAGCTTGGCTCGTATATCGTATCGGTTCTAACGCACACTTTTGTGGAAGATAAGGTGTCATAAAGCGCGCGCAAAATAAACTTTAAATTAGTTCTGTAACATAAGGGCGCGAGGACATATGGGCGCCGGACCGAGTATTCTCTAAAAAAATAAATTGTAGATGGTGTTAATATTTTATATTTCACTTTTAATTCTGCTTCTATATTTTAACGTCGAGTTTTAAACGAGACGGTTATGCTTTCCGGATTAACCGATTTCGGTTACTAAGAAATTTTGCAGGTAGATTCATAATAAAATTTGTGAATGGCACCTTTAAAGGGCCCCATTCACATGCGGATATGTACGGCGGATCTGTACGGCGTACAGATCCGTGTTGAGCTACACACAGGCGGATATGACTGTACACAGATCACGGACAAATCTCAATAGACAAGCAGGCGGCGTTCTGTCGCTATTTCAGTTCTGTAGTAATAGCCCTGGGTTATGTTCTTTTGAATGCTGTGGTAATTGGTATGGATCATAAGGAGAAACTCACAATAACTGGAGGAGGAGGTTTTATTTGAAGATACGAAAAAAAGAGACTATGGTCAAAACAGTGGTTCCTGAAACGAAAAAAATACTCTCATATGACTTTACTTAGAGATTTGGAAACGCCTCATGATTTGCACAATTTTTTGCGCATGGACAATGAGAGATTTGAAACTATTAAAATATGTTCGCCCAGTTATTGAGAGGAATGATACTCATATGAGGCAGTTACCAGTAGAGAGCGATTAATTGCCACGCTACAGTACTTAGCAACTTGAAGGAATTTTGAAGACCTAAAATTCAGTTGTGCAATCTCCCCTCAGCTTCTCGGGAAAATTATACCTGAAACTTTCAAATAAGCCACCAGCCTTGGCAGAATATGCTCGGAAATCTTTACCAGTATTTAAATTGTTCCCCAAAAATGTGCATTTTGTTCTGGAATGTTAATATCAACGTAGTCTTCAAATTTTACTTTTATAATATCCCCAAAAGGTAACTGATCGGATTGTATTTGACTAACAGTTTCACCAACAGTTCAGTGTTGTTCCGCAATTTTGCTTAAACATTACCCAAAAGCCTGCATTATATTCAAAGTAATTTAAACAAAATATTTTTTTAAATGACTGTTTAATTGGAGTAGGATTAGTCGCATTTCCATTTTGATTTCTTAAATTTCCAAACATATTTTCAAGAAGTTCCTATTTTTTGATCCTATGTCCGGCAAACAAATCCGTTAAACGACCACACACGTGCGTATTTGTCGGGCTCGCTGTCCGTGCTCGTCGTCCTGATCGACGGATGGCGAGCAGGATATGTACGCCGAACACGCGGATACACACATACGAATTGATACGGATCTGTCCCGCGTACATGTCCGCCGTACATATCCGTATCAATTCGTATGTGTGTATCCGCGTGTTCGGCGTACATATCTTGCTCGCCGTCCGTCGATCAGGACGACGAGCACGGACAGCGAGCCCGACAAATACACACGTGTGTAGTCGTTTCATGGATTTGTTTGCCGGACATAGAAACAAAAAATAGGAACTTCTTGAAAATATACATTCCAGAACAAAATGCGCATTTTTTGAGGAACAATTTAAATACTGGTAAAGATTTCCGAGCATATTCTGCCAAGGCTGGTGTGCTTACTTGAAAGCTTCAGGTATAATTTTCCCGAGAAGCTGAGGGGAGATTGCACAACTGAATTGTAGGTCCTCAAAATTCCTTCAAGTTGCTAAGTACTGTATCGTGGCAATTAATCGCTCTCTACTGGTAACTGCCTCATATGGGTATCATTCCTCTCAATAACTGGCCGAACATATTTTAATTAAGTTTCAAATGTCTCATTGTCCATGCGCAAAAAATTGTGCAAATCATGAGGCGTTTCCAAATCTCTAAAGTCATATGAGAGTACTTTTTTGATTCAAGAACCACTGTTTTGACTACAGTCTCTTCTGTTTCCTATCTTCAAATAAAACTATATATCCTGCAATTATTGTTTCTTCTTATGATTCATAGCAATTACCACAGCACTCAAAACCACACAACCCAGGGGCTAGCACTACAGAACTGAAATAGTGAGAGAACCTGAGGCCACGGCAGAATACTACCGTATCGACAATCCAACCAGGGATACCAACTAAATAATATTCCCGTATTCTGTGGTGTACATACACGGTGTGTCAAATAAAGAAAACTCGTGTGTAGATATATTTTATTTAGAGACTCTGGGGGCACGACTGCAGCTACCCGCGTGGCCACCGAAAAACCCTTACATCCAAATGTAGTTTGTATTTTCAATCACCTTTTGTAACAAGTTGTAACATGTCATATTGACAATGTACATAGGTAATTTGGGTTGCCTATCTTCCGAATACCTGTAGCTGGACATAGGTCAGTTGGGTCACATTCCTAAGATATCATAATCAAAATTTGACCAATTTCCTTTCCTTTTGCACGCAAATCTTCGACGAGGTTACTACAAATAATTGCTTTGGATAATTATAGTCTTGTACGGATTAAGTAACTACCAACAGTACCGTTTCAAGTGGTGTTTAGTAGCTCCATTAGTTTACCTCTTGAAATGAATCAAGTTTTTGGATTATCGAAGATTCAGCTGGTAAGGGTGTGGTCCCTATGCTAAAGTTAATTCGCAACATTTTAGGAACATGTGGATTAGGCTACAGTCAGTATATTAGGCCTTCGAATAGAAGCCAAAGTTAACTATTTAGTTATTTAAAAGTCAAAGCCGATACATCTGGGTTAGTATTCAACCACCTTTCTTTAATTACCCTTACACTTAACATCCCATTTTAGCTTTTACCTTAGTATCGTGTAGCAGTTATAATTACCGGTTCCACCACACCAGAGTTTAAAATCACGGTTAGCACCAACATTGCCTCGTCGTCCGTCCTGTGTATATTGAATCCAACGTCGCTGGTTCCAGTGCTGAAAGTAAAACATTCCCGAGAAGAAATTGCTAACTTCATAACAAGTACTTACCTGAATCAGAATGCTTGTATAAGTAGGGTTACCATACGTGCGGATTTCCCCAGACATGTTTGGGTTTTTATGGTGTCGGGGGAAGTCCGGCCGGAAAAGTGGAAGTGATCCGGGTAAAGATTTCTGTCGGCGTCATGTGTCGCGGCGCGCGCTAGTGCGCAAAACCCATGCAAAATCTCATAATGCATGTCGTGGGCGTATGCGACGGCGCGGCGACGGTTCTTTCAATTCTTTGTTCTTAGCTATTATTATTCATAAATCGCCCGTAGCTAACGCCGTACGTTTCTTTCTGTTGGTGATCGTGGTAGTGGTTTGTGTTAAGAAATTTTATAATACTGTGAATCAGCGAATCTAATACAAAGTTGAATTATGCCGAAACGTCAGTGTAAATATTCGGATGACATGCTGAAGGAATTTCCTTCCGTGAAAAAAGGAAAAATAAGCACTGAAGTGTTTTGTAACGTATGTAGTTCTTCGCTTTCCATCGCTCACAAAGGAAAGAAAGATATTGAAGACCATTTGAAAACTGAGAAACACAAGAAGAATTTGCGCAGTCAGGCAGGTGCATCAGGCCTGCAAAAGTTTGTCACAACCGCAAGTAATAGCTCGCGCATCAAGGCTGCTAAAGCCACACTTGCTTTTCATACGGTACGACATCATCAATCATACAACTCCATGGGCTGCACAACCAAAGTAGAGTTGACTTGAGTAAACAGTTGGACGTTGTTACTTAAAATATAAATTTTAGGTGAATAAGAAAATCTACCATGACTCAACAGTAGGCCAGTCGCTAACATGTGGACGTACGAAAGTTGAAGCAATAATCAACGGAGTTCTGGGACCGTATTCTTCACAAGAGATTAAAAAGCAGATTGAACACATTCCTTATGTAGGGGTATCTACCGACGCAAGTAATCACAATTCGATTAAGATGTTTCCTGTACTGCTGCAGTATTTTGATTACAAAAAAGGAGGTTTGCACGTAAAACTTGCTGACATCCAAAGCACAGAAAACGAAACATCAGAGACCGTGTCCGATTTATTAGTGTCAGTTCTTGCTATGTATGATGTCACCCAAAAATGTATATCATTCTCAGGACGCCTATTCTCATCGCAGGAATGTGATTGTTCGTAGGAGAATATCCGCCATCTTTCTATCAATATTTGCGCGGCCGTATTCTCATCATCGATTTCATGCTATCGTTCGCATGAAAATCCGACATTTTTTCTCGTTTAAGTTACATCAATAGAATTGTATGTTTTGAGAGAATCGCATGCGCAGTGGTAACTGGAATGATAGGATTGCAACACACACCACGAAATGTAACTACAGCTACACTAAATGTTTAGTTACAAATTAAACGTAAATAAAGGGGTAGTTTGTTTATTACTATTATTATTACTAAAACTGGTTTTTCCTATTACCTTTGTTGAGCGATTAACAGTACCTCGTTAATACCTACTCGCTTGGTTTAGTAAATCTAACTATTGGCTAAACATGGATGAAGAAGAAGTCATGATAATCAATGAAATCTTAGAAAATGTAGTAGAAGCAGAAGAAGACGCTGTAGCTCCTCCTAGACAAATAGGTCACCACGAAAATCCATTTGAAGTTTTAAGCGAAGAACGATTTATTGGATTGTTTAGGGTAAACAAAGACATGGCTCAAAATATCATTAACGAGTTAAGGCCGTTTATTATGGTAGGGCGAAATTATTGCTCCATTGATGTCACAATTAAGGTAACACTTTCTTCCATGAAATCAAGTTTAATACGTGGGCTCCTGTAGGTTCTAGTAGCCTTGATGTTTTATGCACATGGGAGCTATAAAAAAATAACGGGAAAAAGCATATTTTCAAACCTCAGCCAATCGAGTGTTAGCCGATGCATTGCAGAAGTAACGTCTGCTTTGGTTCGTGAAGAAATTTGCACTCGTTAGAAGGTCCGTGAAGTTGGCAATGCCCATTTCACCAAACTTAAAATTGTTGTAACCATATTTTTGTGCTAATTTTGTGCTATTTATTGCCGATAAACAAAAATTTTGTGCTTTTGTTTACCGACTTTACTTAGCGTTACCCAAGTAATGATTTGGTTATTTATTGGCGATTATTACATAATGTTCTGCTCTAATCTTGGTTATAATACTGAGTGAGCAACTATTACTTGTATAATCAAGAAAGTACGAACGACTAGCCGCATGCTGCCATAACCAACGATTTGTTTTGGTTTGTGGTACCACATTATTTAGTAGTAGAGTAGTTACATCTTCTTTAAAAAAAGATGTTTGGTTCCAAAAAAGTGGTGATAGCGGATACAGATTCTATGCGACGACAGAAAAAAAATGCACAAAGAAACTGTAGTAAACGTTCAGGTGACAGCATATCCTAATCGAAAGTGTTTGTTGACAAGCTCTTACAGATTAGATCTTTTATATGTGTACTACATCGTCATAGCTGTTTTTTCAACAACTTTACTATTCAACACTACGTCGATGTCATTATTAACGTCACGTCTTTATGTAGCACACATATCGGAAAGGGTTGAAGTTCGGAATTTGGTACAATGCTACAGGCCGTGTGCCGTTGAAGATTTTTCGTAATCCCATTGAAAATTTTTAATAGAGCTGGAAAAACGAGGAAACTATTACGAAATATCATATTCGTATATAAAATATTTACTCATAGGAAATAATTTCTCTTATAGATGATACCACAATTTATTAACTAAATTATAGTTGTGACTGTTCATTGTTGTGAATGTCAATCAATTTAAGATATAGAAAATGTTTCTAAAAGAAAATAATATTTAATTAAAAACTACCTACTTAGTAAATGCCAACAATTAATTCCCATTCAAAGACAAAATTAAAATATCGGGACAAAGGGGATTGAATGATAACTAAAATTACATTAGACTGCATAAATGTGGTTCAAATGAAATATTATCTAATATAATTTTTACTCGAATTTTTATTTTATAACTTTGTACCCAAGTTCTTACATGAACGCTGTGTAGATTTAAACATAATTTATTCTAGAGATTAGAGATTCCTTACACAAGCTCTTTTGTTTATTTATTGCCCTGCAATCTGAAAGGGATAAAAGTGTTAAAAGTGATTTTATTCATAACCCAAAACAATAGCGGGTTGAGTGTACGTAAATCCAGATAAGTGAATTTTTCTGTGACTAGTGGTTTTAGTTGATTACCATTTGTGGTTTAGTTGCTATACTTACTTCACAGTGTTAATTTGTCGTTTTCGGTTATATCATTATTCATCATTACTACTTGGATTCGCGTAATCCATATCGCTCTTTTCTAATTTTTTTTAGAATGTTCGCGTATATATATATATATATATATACCTAGTATATAAAGATTTGGTTGAGCACTCCAACCCATACTCTTTTATTAGACGAACCCATTCCTTAGAAGATGGTGGCAATATTTTTCCAGATTTAAGAAGCAGGTTCATATTGCACTTCAGTGCTTCAAATATCTTCAACGTTTGTTGTTTTTGTGGTCGACCAGCCATTGTGAAACTCCCACTGAAATTGCAATATGTTTATTAAAGGAAGTATAGCACCGTGCAAAGAGCGGAGAGAAAATAGCGAGTTGCCATTCAAAAAAATTAAGTTTCTGAATATTTGAGATAACGAATTTCAGTGCCAATTTCTGAACACTCTGTAATAAGAGTTTTAAAAAGTTCTTTAATATTTGATAAGCTATAGGTCTTTTAAATCCTCAATACAATTGGTCTTTTTCTTTGAAGAGTTGCTACTACTAAAAAACAAAAGCGCAGGATAAACATATTTTATGCTGTATCTATAGTTTCATTGGGCGTAAATTCCAAAGATTTGAATTTCCTAAGTATACCAATTTTCATAAAATCTTCTTTCTCATATACAGGGTGATTTATACCAGAATTTGTTGTTGCTGCTCGAAGGGGAGGAAGGGGACGTTTCTGATACCCGATGACACCATCAGTGATAGAGAAGAATTTGATTTAGACCACACGACACAAGAGGAGGAGGTAACCAACGACTTCAACGTTTTTGAGCAGAATAATTTATCTACTGAAATTGACAATCCTACTGATGACTCAGACAGTGAAGATAACGTACCACTGGCCCAACTTTTACCACAAGCTACATCACTACAGAAAAAGAAAAAACCCACCATCCTACTGAAATGGACAAGAACTGTGACGAAGCAAATTGATTCAACATGTAATGTATCTTTTTCTGAACCTGAAAAACATAGAAATTCCTCGACCAGAAATCATTAAAACTTATAATACGTATATGGGAGGAGTCGGCCCCCAATGATATGCTCGTTGCTTTATATAGGACAAAAATTGATACATAACGTTTTTATTTTCGCAAATTTTTTCATCTGTTGGACATCTGCATCGTGAACGCTTTATCGGCATCATTGTAACATAAAGAAATTAAAAATTTTAAGAAATTAATTGTGTTTAGGAGTGAAATTGGTCATGCATTTTTACAGTTTTGTATAGTTGAAAGAAAACGAGGAAGGCCCTCTTCAAGAGAAGGGACACTGCCCCAAAATTAGCAACCACAGTTTAAAAAACGAGCTACAGTTGCCAGAACTATAGATGATGTCAGATATGATCAAAAACACCAATGGCCGGCAGGGCCGTACCCAGATTATTTTTTCGAGGGGGGTTGTTATTAGAAAAATAAAGTACAGAAATAGAAAATGATGCACGCTCCGATTTTCGCTATCATTTCCGAAGTCAAACCACGAATTTTCTGTAGTCGGCTGCTGGCTGCGACTAATAATTTTCTTTTCCTTTATTATTTCGGAGGGGGTTTCAACCCCTCTAACCCCCCCCCCCTTGGGTACGGCCCTGATGGCCGGTACACATAGAACCGAAGGTAATGTGCGCCAGTGCACAATGTACATACACCAGGGTTGCGTGTGATAAGTGTAAAATGTCATTATGAATTACCAAAGACACAAATTGTTTTGTAAAATTTCATAAATCTGTTTGACGTAAGTTTGTAAGGTATAAAAAAATGTATACCTCTGTTCACAACGACGCCATATGGCATCATTTTCAAGGTATAAATAACTTCTTAGGTTTTTTATTTTTGCCTCGGTAAGGAGTCCATTTCATTTACAATTTCATTTCATAAAAAAATTGAACGATACTGCATCGGTAGAAAATAAAGAGAAAATAGTTGAAAGGGACGAAGGGAGACACAACATCGTTTATTAGTTATCGTTTATTATTCAAGTTGTTATTTCGTTGGAGATAAAACACAAAGTAGTCGCCGGAGATTTAAAAAGAAGTGTCGTTTAACCCTCCATTGTTACTATTCAAAACTTAGGGGTTGTTTTGACAATCTCTAGAGGCTGGAATCTATGGGGAAGGAAAAAGGAACAAAATTCTTTCCGGTCAATTTAAAAATTGAAATTTTTTTAGGGTTTGTTGTAAAACCGAAATTAATATTTTCGTTGACCAACCCTGTAGTTGTAAACGTTCTAATGCATACAAATAAAAATATTAAAGTATATCACCTTTTACTGTATGGAGTAGTTATCATAAATTATTAGCACTGTTGATAATCACGATCAGTAGATGTACGGCAACTGCAGCGTAATGAAGGGTGTGGGTAAATCCCAGACCCGGACCCGGACTTGATGGGTAATGACCGAACCCGCACCCGCAGAAAATTAATTGGTATACGTTTTTCAAAATTATTACTTGGGTATCGCTTAGTGAAGTTGGCCGTACCCATCTATTTTTTCGAATAACCCTGCAAATTCAAAAGCACAAAATTTGTATTTATCACCAATAAATTGCACAAAATTAATTAGTATTGGTTTTTCAAAATCATTACTTGGGTAAAGCTAAGTAAAGTTGGCCGTACCCATCTGTTTTTTCGAATAACTCGGTAAATTGAAAAGCACAAAATTTTTGTTTATCGACAATAAATAGCACAAAATTAATTGGTATAAGTTTTTCGAAATTACTACATGGGTATCGCTTAGTGAAGTTGGCCGTACCCATCTCTTTTTTCGAATAACTCGGTAAATTCCAAAGCACAAAATTTTTGTTTATCGGTAATAAATAGCACAAAATTAGCACAAAAATATGGTTACTACAATTTTAAGTTTGGTGAAATGGGCATTGCCAACTTCACGGACCTCTCGTTAGATACATTTTCCACAAACCATGATGGAATTACAACAGTTAAGAACCAGGTAAAAAATAGTAATTGATCAAAACAAATGAATCATTTCCATGTAATAAACTAATGCTTTTGAAGGTTTTTCCGGAAATTCCACTTACCAGGTGTTGTGGGTTGTATCGATTGCACCCATGTTGCCATTGTTCGTCCTAATGATAATGAACATGTGTTTGTAAATA